TAAAGGTAGCCTGTCCAGAGGTTATCACAACATTCATGTTCTCAAAGGATTTAGAACTGTTTCTTTTCTGTAGAGAATTAGTGATTCCACCTCCACTTGCATCGAGTCTAGGGCAGTGGAGGAGAGAATGGGACACTGGTGTCATTTCAGCTATCTTAGCTTCATCACCCGTGAGCCTTAGCCACGTTTCAGTTAAGATAAGCACATCTATGTCATCGTCAATAATCATATCAAATATGTCAATAGGTTTGTTTCTGGATGACTGAGCATTCCAGAGGCACATTTTAAGAAATGCTGGAGGCTTTGTAGGATGCACCTGAATGAGATTACTGTGGTTAATCCCATGACAACAGTTAGTTCTGACGGAATCAGGGAAGACATTTTCACAGATTGTTATTTTCTAATTTTCCTACCTGCTCGACGACCTCTCCTGGTTTTCTGCAAACAGAAATCCCAGTATCACGTAATATTCTCATAAGTGTAGGGTCAATCCGACCTTGAAAGTTTTGCTTTCAACAGAGACATGTTGGACTGCTGTGGCCGGTGTGCTGATTGACAGACAAAAGATCTGCCCTGCTGCATTGGGGTTGCCAGCTGGGGTAACTCATGGTACCCTAAACAGATTTTAAGGTCTCAATTAACTGTTTTAGCAACATCATCAACGAAAATGACATAGTGTCACGTGATCAGGAAAGTGCTGGCTTCAAGCGCAATGTCCCTATCCCTGTCTTGTTGAATAGTGACACTTTTTGTGTCACGTGTGGTACCCTACAGATTTTAAGGTCTCCTAAATTAACTGGTCACGTTCAAAAGTGCTGTTCAGGTATACAATGGCGGCGAGATCTAAGGGCGAGATCTAAGGGCCTGACAAAAGCTTTATTAATGAAATAAAGCTTTACAGAGGCTTTTGTTGAAAGTGATCTCGTACTCCCAGTATATCTACTACTCATACCCCTGAAATCCGGTATGATACATAAATATCTGAGTTGTGTAAACATTTGCAAATTTGAATATTTACATGTGTTTCCCCACCTACGTAAATTTACGATTATGACTGTCATATCATACTTCATTGTTGTTAATGATTGAATCCAAGTCAGCAAAACTGGCCATCTCAGACACTCTGCTGTTCAACGCAACACTATGTAATAAGGTTGAAAAATCATTCATCCGTTATTACTGTCTTGTTGAATATCGTGACAATGGATTCAAGTATTGGATATGACATTCATCCAGACAAAACACCGTGCCTGACAATCCAAATCATTCAGCTTCTCACATCTCGCCATTTGTAAGAGAATTTATTGGGTTGGTTTAAGAGCAATTATTTCATGAGATTTCAATGATAAAAAGTTGAAAATTCACACGTCTCTTGACAAAGAGTTCGCCAACGCAACAACCGCCTTTATTGTTCTGGTTCTGTTTACCTGTCTACAAGATGGCGTCAAAGTCAATACTTTGTATGGTCTCGATTGGCAGCAATTACTGCTCTGCATCATTTCGGCACAGACTAGGTAAGTCGACGAAGCGCTCGCTCTTCCTACAATGCTATGGCAAGTTGTGGTCTGAAGTGTGTTTTGACGTTGACATACACGTCAATCGAGTTCATCCCATAGGTGTTCTATCAGGTTTCATAGATCGGGAAGGTCATGGCAAGACATTGACGCTAGACATTGACATTGGTCCATATTCGGAAACATGAAAAGTAGCGTTGTCATGCTGGATCAACTCCCTCTGTTGGTCCATATTCGCGAGCATGTAAAGTAGCGTTGTCATGCTGGATCAACTCCCTCTGTTGGTCCATATTCGGAAGCATGTAAAGTAGCGTTGTCATGCTGGATCAACTCCCTCTGTTGGTCCATATTCGGAGGCATGTCAGGTAGCGTTGTCATGCTGGATCAACTCTCTCTGTTGGTCCATATTCGGAAGCATTTAAAGTAGCGTTGTCATGCTGGATCAACTCCCTCTGTTGGTCCATATTCGGAGGCATGTCAGGTAGCGTTGTCATGCTGGATCAACTCCCTCTGTTGGTCCATATTTGGAAGCATGTAAAGTAGCGTTGTCATGCTGGATCAACTCCCTCTGTTGGTCCATATTCGGAAGCATGTAAAGTAACGTTGTCATGCTGGATCAACTCCCTCTGTTGGTCCATATTCGCGAGCATGTAAAGTAGCGTTGTCGTGCTGGATCAGCTCCCTCTGTTGGTCCATATTCGGAAGCATGTGACGTGCAAGGACTTCGTTGATGTACAGATTTGCTGTCAAATTTCACTGTACCACCACTAAATCAGATCTGTGTGTGCTGGATAACCCACCCCACACCATGACACTGGCCCCACCGAATCGGGCGACCTGTTAAATCAATTAGGGGCCCAGCGTTCATTTCTCCAACGGTAAACACGCTGTCTTCCATCTCGCCAGTGACGAAGAAATCCTGATTCATCATTGAACCAGTTTGTAAGATTCCAGTTACGGACTCTACGACACCACCACTAGTAATTGCTACTCTGGAAGTTTCTCAAAACAGGGGCGACAACTGGCCCTCTAATCCCCACTTCGTGCTCAGGCTTGGACATTGTGGCCTGAAGGCATATAGAAGTAGTTTAGATAAAGACCTCTCTCCTCTATGTGAATGCTGTAACTTACACTGCCCAGAAACAATTCAGCACTATCTCATTGTATGTCCAGCTCATGAAAAACCACGTCAGGCTCTTAAAGGAACCGTGCTTAACAAAACAAAAAACAAGAGTTACAGTGAACACAATACTTGGCGATAATTTAATGTATGGTTGCATACAAAGAGCTGTGTTAGACTTCCTCGTTAAAACGGGGAAGTATGACATAATTTAACTGAACATACATATAACAGCTTGTTAGGTGTTGGGCGCATATAGGCCCAAGGTCGCCCTACCAACCTACCTACCTACCTAAAGCCCACCCACCCACTTACTTCGATTCCTTACAGTTTGGTTGGAAATTCTTCTCAAACTGCGTTGTGCTGTTTCCACGGCTGTGGCAAGATGATGACGCAAGTGAGCAGCCCAGATGTACATATGTAGCGGTGCTTGGCTTGGGTTGCAGTTTTTTTGACGGCCGCTTCTCGGGCGACCTTGGACAAAATTGGTCTGCAGGAAACGATCCCAAAGGCGAGATATGGTGCTCTGATGAACGTTGAAATGTCAACTGCAGACTCCAAATCCCCAGCTTCAAGGCGGCCAAAGGCGATAATTCGATTGCCGGCACTCAGTCGTGGCATGATGATTTTCTCTTTTCCAGACAAAAACGAATCACAAATTAAACACAATGTTTCCCTTTTTATAGTGATTGATACCGCATGCTTTTCTACTTACTTGCATTTTGTTTTGCATGTTTGCTTGGTGAAATTTTGGCGAATATTTCTTTGGACGTTTCTAAAACAAAAGAAAGATTTAAAGGTTAGGCACTGAAGCTGTTTACGATCAAAACAAAAATGACGTTTAGGAAAAAAGGTAGTCTGTTTTATTGTTTTTGCCGCAGCTGCATGAGTCAATATTCTCAAAATCACCTATGCGTTTCCTTTTTTTCCTTCACGGCTGAGAGGAACTGCGGATAACCAAACGTTATTTCTGTGTCACTTGATCTTTGTAAGTCTAACGCCCATACAGTTTCCGAGTCCCGTGCTGGGATTGCAGTCATGGGCATTCTGATCCTTAGTCGGACGCCTTGTCCACATGACCAAAGAGGTTAACCCCATCAGCAAGGATGACTCCTTGCCCTGCTACATAAGCCTATACTTATGCATCACCATCAACCAATTCGGGTGTCAGGTGTTCAAGAAAACGTGTGACTGTTCTTTCTCACCATCAGCATATGTAACAAACACATCCAAAGATTCAAGATTCAAGATTCAAGATTTTTATTTGTAGAAAGGCCATATGACCCAAAGTACAAATGTACAATATAACATAAGATTCTACAGAGTTACTTTCTTTAGTTTTATACATTCAAACACATGTTTAAGAAATTTAGCAAGATTTAACAGAAAGATGTTATTATTTGATTGGCACAGGTTTGAAACATTATTATAGCTACCACTACTACAATTTGGGATGAAACGCTTTCTCTCTGTTACAAAATATACACAATCATAAAGTACATTTTTTTCATTCAGCATTACATTACAGTGTTTACAAATGTAGGAGTTATTACTAAAGACATTTTTCTTACTCAGATATCCACTTCTAAATAAAGTTAATACACGTCTATGCTCATGGGAACTAATGTTTAACAAATATTTTTCACAATTAAGCAAAGACTTATGAGAATGATAAAATGCGAGAGAATCACTCTGAAGAGAATAGTGCCAGTTCTGATAAGCACATTCTTTAACACGTTGACTAAAGATATAAATGATATGATCTGGATCCCCAACCTCTTGGCTTATCCAAACAAAACCATAGCCATAACGAAAAAGTAAATACTTTACTTGATTGGCCCAACTCGGCCTTTTTCTCTCAAGAATGGACAACAGCATATTATAACATTGGAAAGCATATCTTTGACGTTGCATTCCGACATCCAAAGGCAAGGCAAGTATTCAACTGAACAAACATGTAACACGCACGCAATTTTTTTAAATTGATTACATTACGAATGAATGTTTGCAAAAACAACAACAACAAACCAACTGAAATTCAAACACCACCTATTTATTGAAATACCCGCCCCACCGCCCCCTGTTGCTTGATGAACCATAATGGATGGTTGGTTGTCTAACACCGCACTCAGCAATATTCCAGCTATATCGGACGGTCTGTGAATAATAAAGCCTGGACCAGACAATCCAGTGAATCGATGAGCATCGATCTACGCAGTTGGGATATGATGACATGTGTCGACCACGTCAGCAAGCCTGACCACCCCATCCGGTTAGTCGCCTCTTACGACAAGCATGGGTTACTGAAAATCAATTCTAACCTGGATTGCCACAGGTCTTGACAGACTATGTATGGTTAGTATCAATCAAAGGACTTCACATATGAAGCCGCATTTAAAACTACATGAACGATCATTCCAGTAGACGCCGCGAAACAGTTGACCCGCCAGTGCCACACAGTCCTCCGTGAATATAGTGCCAGCGATGTCCTTCCAGGTGTGGCTTGGTTCACCGGTGCCCCAGTTATCGTACTCTAAGGGCATCTTGTCTGTCCACAGAAACCTGTGCCTTTCCTTGAAATATCTGAGGCCCATCCAAAGATAAACTGCAATAGAAACTATGATATTATTATGATATAAGAAAGAAAGAAGAGAGTAAGAAAATATGATATTATTATTTATTATTATAGGATATGTATATTGTGCACATCTCCACGCAACGAGCACATGCTCAAGGCACTGAAATGTTCCCTTGATCAACGGATATCTAGTTTTCTGTCATTGTTTTGTACCAACTCAACTCCCTGGGGAGTATTCAACTCATGCAGCCTGTTAGGCGCAGCGAGTTATCACACAGCCTCATCCTCACAAGGTACCCATTTGCAGCTGGGTGAACTGGGACACATAGTCACAGTATTTTGTCCTATGATACTGCACATTACCCGCAACTAGGTGTCTGCACGTGTTCGTGTGTCCACTATCTGGTCATCTACCATGGGATGAGTGGGTTCTTTAAAATGCACAGGGATGCATACTGCACACTAGGGGTTGTGACAACACTGAAAGAGCCTGCAAATAATATTGGCTCCAAGGTTTTTTACGCCCAGTCACAAGTGGGGATCGATCCAGGCACATTTCACTTAGCGCGGCGCCTTAGACAGCCCGATATGATGTTATATGACGCAGAAAGCAAAATGAAATCAGCGATGTGTGTCCATACTTATAATATTGATAGAGGATTCCCTTTGAATAATATACCTGGGTTATTGCTTCCTTCAGCAAAATGCAGTCTGGATGATCTTTACCACACATAGGATAAATGTTCCCTAATGCCGCCTCGTCGTTTTCCAGCCCTTCACCCACAAAATAACATCCAAAAGCATCACATTCCGTTCTTTTTAACCACATAACAGAGGTGAAAGTACACTGGGAATTATTTGACTGGTGAAACACATACCATAAGCAAGATAGGTTGCATGATGGGGTTACACAAACATAATCAGTAATGGAAAATGATACCAAGTGATCCATGATACCCAAACATAATCAGTGTAGTGGACATTGTATTTCAGTAGAACATGACGACGTTTTCATCGTGTTTCTTGTGCCTTTCCACAAAGAACGTGAAACATCAACATCAATTTTAGATCAGTTTTAAATGGAGAAAATAAGTCATTAGAAACGGTGTTACTGCAATCAACCTCCAGTGGCGGTAACAGTAATCCAACTTGTACATAAACTTCTCTATAATTCTGGTACCAGTCTAAATATAGAGCTGACCACTGCACCTCCTACTGAATATTAACAGGTACAATTATTACACCCGGAACAATCATATTCAATTAATAACAATGTATATATTGTCACTTCTTCATGTTAACAGACAAATTTTAAAGCCACCCAGTCCGGAAGCATCTACAGGGAGAACAAATGCAGAGTTATGTCCCTTTTGGATGCCAGAAACCAGTGATCGACATCCGGTTTGCCCAGATAAAATTCCAATGTCTGTTTGCAAGAAAACGTGCTTTTGAGTTTAACCTTTGCTACCTACATGAATCATCGCATGACTACATGATCTATGAAGTGTATTTTTGTTAATAATGTCACATTAATTAACTTTTAGTTGTTATGGGTCACAAATTTTAAAGCGCTGAGTGTGGATTTGAACTCACATCAACTAAGGCTGTATATTTCACCTGTTAAGAGTGAGCTCGGGAGTTACCTCCTCTTTGGTGTTGATCTGCTTCCAGGGGATGCTGTGGAAGCTGTGAGTAATGTCAAAATGATTTCTGCTGGAATTCTCCAGAACTGTATAATAATACGTATATAAAGGGATGGTTGTCGAGATGTGTGACTACTGCTTTGGATTTATGCTTATCTGTCTGCTAACATCGACGTTTCACCACTCAAGAGACCTACCTCTCGTCTACATTGAACTTACAACAGCTGTCAACAATCTTCAATCAGTACGTCTGTTTTACTGGAAATATTAAGACTTTGGTGAGTTAATATTTTAGATTTTTGGACCAATAGGATTGTATTAGACATTTGTACTGTTATTCATTGTAACCTTGTTTATCCAATATATAATTGAACATTATAGACTTGTCTGTGTTGCATTTCGCTGGTTTAAAAAAGGGACTCACAACCCTTTTATCTCAGTAATTTCTAAACACATTACCTCGATCTGGGTTTAGTGATTATTCTCCAATGTAGCTGAACATTAAAAGCAAACACAATCTCTTAGGGTAAGAGATTTGCACTTCTTCTAAACCATTTGAGAGTACATCCACCAATATTATTTGAAAGAAGTACCTGGAGTGATTGAACGGCTTGTAATCTGAAGTTTCTTCTTGATTACAGTCTCCTTTTCTTTGGTGTCAATCTTGACCAGCGACCCTCCTTCGGACTGACACACACGCAAAGCTGCATCCCAAGACAGTGGAGTCACGTGTCTCTTGACGTTGACCTTCACCTTCCCAGCCTTGATGGACCGATAGCCTGGTTTCATCGCTGCATAAAAAAAACATCGTCATATTATGTCAACTATTAAACCACAAGCGTTATTTCACAGAAAGTATCTTTATTTAACTTGTGGATAAATTGTATATGATAAACCATTTTATGAAAACACATAATTTCCCGAAAATCTATTTCTGAGACACCCGAAATATTTCCCTGAACGACCGACCCCAGCCTTCAGCGACCGACAGCATGGTCTCATAGTTTTAAACAATAATGTCAATACTACATGAATGTTTACCCCTTCGTGCGAAACAAAACCATACAACATAATTTCTGAATCAGCTATATCACAGAGCACAGAACACAGAGCATGGCGACTTAATGGATTGGGTGTTCTGAATCAGCTATATCACAGAGCACAGAACACAGAGCATGGCGACTTAATGGATTGGGTGATTCTGAATCAGCTATATCACAGAGCACAGAACACAGAGCATGGCGACTTAATGGATTGGGTGACTGAATCAGCTATATCACAGAGCACAGAACACAGAGCATGGCGACTTAATGGATTGGGTATTCTGAATCAGCTATATCACAGAGCACAGAACACAGAGCATGGCGACTTAATGGATTCGCCAAAAAAGTTTCACATAACGTTTCAAATCACTTTATTCTAGGACTCGCGAATGTTATGCTTTAGTTTCAACGCAGGTACTAGGTACATCTATTCCTCATGAATGTTTCATCAAGTCGCAACTGACTTTCATCTATGAGTTGGAACCGTGTTGTAACAGTAGAGTTCTGGATTAAACAATTGAGACTTCGAGTTGATATTCCATGAATACGAAGGGGCTTAGCCATACACCCACATCGTAAAAATATACACAGACAGAATATGAACCAACCACGAGCACTTATTGCAAACACTGGCGCAACCTGCAACTATTCAATTCTGGCACAAGGCTGGAGGCCTGCCATTTGACTTCCTTGTCACTCTGAGCCCTCGTTCAAAATATCCTGCAGCTTATTATGGAAAATATATCGACACATATACTGACTGCGAGCTGTAATAACATGTACAAATTTAAACATGTCTGTCCTGACTCGAAATGGTCCCTCCACGAGTGCTTAAACAGAACTCTGGTGCCACATGCAAGTGATTCAATTCTGGCACAAACCTGGAGGCCTGCCTTTCGACTTTCTTGTCACTTTGGGTGCTACTGGGGCACACCGGAGATCCCATCCGATTGCATGAGAACAGTGGGACGCCCTCAACTGACTACATGCAATCTGTGTCTTGCTGGAGGCTGATTGTCCTCGGCCATGGATCTCATTACAAACACTGTGAAAACCCAACATCAGCATCATCAGAGCAAGTGTCATCCTGCAACTTTCGTAGTGGGCTTCTGTCTGGATGTATGTGTGTATTATACAGTAACAGACCTCATGCCTGAAACATCAGCTAAAGGCCAACAGACACCGGATATATCCAGCATTAATTACACAAGTGTGGATTGATTGGAAGCGTATAATTGTCGCCGCTTAATGTTAAACGAGATAAGCAAGCATTGGAATTTCATGACAACTACCGTTGACATTCTCAAATATCTTAATTCCAGATAGCTTACGTTTTACTGAAACATTTTGCATCAATAGCACAAACACCATTAAACACGTCACAATTTAATTCTGGACTCACGAAAGTCCAGAAACTCTCCGCACTGTGGACACTTTCTGACAAGGGATTTGACCAAATGGAACATGCAGTTGTTATGAATACATGCCAAGGATGAAAAAATGAAAAAAAAATTCCGAAAACTTTAAATTTAAACTCGCTCGCCCATGGGCCTGCCCATGGGCGAACAGTGGCCCATGGGCGAGCGAGTTTAAATTTAAAGTTTTCGAAGATTTTGTTGTGCATTTTTTCATCCTTGGCATGTATTCATAACAACTGCATGTTCCATTTGGTCAAATCCCTTGTCAGAAAGTGCCCACAGTGCGGAGAGTTTCTGGACTTTTGTGAGTCCAGAATTAAATTGTGACGTGTTGACTCAGTTTGTTTCCCACTCTGTTGTCCTCCGCCGTGATATTGCAGGAGTGACTAACGGGATCTGGTGGTCAGGCTCGCTGACTGGGTTGACACGTCATTGTATCCCTACTGCGTAGATTGATGTTCATGCTGTTGACCCCTTGGGTGTGCCTTCGATGGCCGCCATATTGAGTGCTACTTCCGGGCCAAAGTTCTCTCCAAAAACTTTCAAAGACTTCTTCACGGGTTTTTAAAAAGCAAACTTACCAGGGAAAAGTCTTCAACAAGGTTGTTTAGATGTTGTCTGTTGTTGCTGTACATTTTCTGTTCTTAGTCATATGTCAAAAGTCACGTGGTTTGGCGGCCATATTGGATTGAAAAGAGTGCAAAAATGCGATATGCTATCAGAACGGCATAAAACAGCATATATCTCCGTCAGCATCGACCCAATAGCGTCCATATTTGGTATGTGTCTCTGCCATGAGATTCCGATGATTTTCGATTGCTTTGTTCCAAGGGGATACGTCCCGCCGTTTGGCCGCCATCTTGGATTTAAACTTATTTTTTTCAGATTGCCATACCAACGAAAGTTGAAAAGGGAATGACTTGACATTTACTATATTAGTAGGCACAGTTAATGGGAAGCTTTCTGCATGTTCTGTATGTCGAATAGTTCCGGAGAAAATAGGGGAAATAGTTTGGCGGCGGACAGACATGCGGACAGACGTCGGGATCAGTTTTGCCGAGTTTGACCATTCCATACGATACACTAGGTCCGGGCAAAGCAGAAACACCAATTCCTTTTAGCCCAGAAGCAGTAACAGCGGCGTCTTAGCTCGTCAAAGAAGTACTTTTTCTTGTGACAGACCGGTCGAATGACTTTGACCCCCGTGACCTTGTTGACCTTGACCATTAGAAAGTCTGTTGGGCTGTCTACCATGTCCAGGGGTTAAAACCCTGATTCAAAATTAATTCCAAAATTTCAACGTTTGACAGCAAACATCTCAAGAACGAATTGTTCCAACACTTCCAAATTTCTTGTACAGATGCACAATCAAATTCCCAACAATTTTGCCTGGACGGGTCAAGTCGCTAAAACGTACCGTTTGGCTAGTATATGTTGTAATATGTTGCTTTCATCTGATAAAACCGGAGGGCAAACATGAGTCGGATAGACATATTTCCATACAGAGTTGTTGGTCAGTAAGCAGTCGAGCGCCAAACGTTGACATGCTCCTAACTTGACACGTCATAGTGACGTCATAGCTGGCAGCTTTGCCGTCGTGGTATCGCCAGTCAAGGCATTTCATAACTAGCAGTGAGATGTGTCGCTCGTTTTAGGACGTGATTGGTGGGTAAGTTCTCAGTTTCTGCTTTTAAACTGGTTTAGGAAATTGATGAACTAGTGTAAATGTATATTGTACAACTGCTGTAAAGCAGTATGAATGTTGCAGGAACCAAGTGCTTGCTTCACACAATGTTTACACCCAAACGTTTGTTTAGCCTGTCACCGGGCGGGGGATGAAGGAACGTCTGTGTAAATAACGCACCGTTTCACTGATAGGCTTGTTATATTTGTAACATATGTTATATTTGGGATTACACTTTGTTATATTTGATCAAATTATGTGCTTGTAAGTTTCATCCTATGAACTGATAACATTTACAACTGTCACGGAAGATTTTCTGAAATTATTAAAAATCTGTTCAGTCAAGTAACGGATGTGTGTCATGTGCATATCTTTTGTTCTGCGTCAATAAATATCTGCATTGCATTGAAATACATACCCCATCACGCGACCCAAAGTATCAGCATAATGGTGAAGGCTTGTAGCTTTGCTCTTTTAACACTGAAACCATAATGTGGAACACATGTATTTCTGTAACACTTCAAGAATATGCCATGGAATGTTCAGTAGCTGGCCATAAGTGAGTCATCATTAGTGAAATTTCCATAGACTTACATGTTAATTAACTGTTGCAAATATAATTTTCATAAATTGAGTAGAAGTCATTTTATTTTGACATTTTGCAAACATCTCGGAAATCATCTTAGCTTCGTGAACATAATATTCTTTCATCTTTCCGTTGATTAGTTATCGAATGACACCTGATTATACACCATAAATACAACATAATTTTAATCTATCCCATAGACAGCCATTTTAAACCTGATTGCTATGTCTAGTATATGTCGTGTAAATAGTTGCAGTTTTCGTAATAATCATTGGAAAATTTAATGGAAATTATGTGCATGTAGCGGAAATGATTTCCCAGCTGGAAGATAAGTATTGAAAGCAATTCGACCGAAACTAAACTGATGAAAATTATTCTTGCATTATTCTTTCACTAATGATGACTCACTTATGGCCATCTACCGTAGATTATGGAAGGGCATATTCTTGTTATTTCTAACACTGAAACAGACGGAATGTCAATCACTCGGTCAGCCGACATTTCGATCTTTACCACCACACACAGCCACTGTGTTTCTACCCTTGTTGTTTATCAAAGTACATTGCTTCCAACAACAAGTACGGCTGTGTCAGCTACACTTTCCGCCTCAGATAGTAGTGCGAGAATTACACTTCCGCCGTCGCTCGGTATGCTGACATTTTGTGAGTGTTTCACAGAGTTTGCCTGACACAAATTACAACTGTGTTGCACAAACACCGAGTAAAGTTACCATGCTGCCCTTCACACTGCGTGATAAACACTGAGGTGTAATCTGCTTCACATTTACGGAATTGACTAAAATACCATGTACATTAAACAGGGAGGGTGGGATGGGGACATCAAGGAAAGGCATTTTTGAATTCCAGTCACGGTTAATGAATTCAAACCAAACAGGTCATTCCATAAGGGGGAATTATGAGTAGGTATAAGTGCAGATGATTTTGTTTGTTTATCTTTTTTTTTTCTTTCAGTGTAATAATGTGAATAATCATGTATTTCATGAAGTTTGAAGTCCCCGTAGAATATACTCGCTTCTAACCTAACCCTAACCCTGTAGGCGAACAGATTCTTTAGTTACACCGTTCATGTTTATATTTCAAAACAAAATAACAATCTATTCACTTACAGCATTTCAACCAAGAGGAGCATCTCAGCTGTTAGCACACAGTCATTGTACAGCTTATTACATTTTCAGATTCATACTGTAATAATAACTTTAGGAAGTGTTCTGGGGTTTTTTCCTGCAGAGATACGCGGTCTTGATGAACAGGTATCTCAATCAAATCAAACCATATATATTTGATACCTCTGCTATAACAGATGTATTTGGAATTTATCCATACATAATATTGAAAGGCAAAACATGTGGAAAGTGAAAACTGAGGCCAGTAGTAGAAATGCTTATGTGCTGTGTACAGTTTTCTGATCAACATATTCACTGTTTCAGCCTCGACTGACCCGAGCCCGACAAGACGGTTTCACCAGTGCCAATGACGACACAAGACTCTGATCTACCGGGTAGGTGGGAGGAAGCTCAGTCCTTAATTCTTCCTGCATTTAACAGACTGATGTTATACCCGTTGAGATTCTGACTTGAGGGATGGGTCTCACCTATGGTATCGATCGACGTTCATGTTGTCAATCACAGGATTTCAAACTGTAAAAACTAAATTTAGGAAGTGTTACTTTTTTCCTGCATAGACACGTGGTCTCCATGAAGAGTTATCTCAGTCAAATTAAACCATATATATTTAATACTTCTTCCATAAGAAATGTATTTAGAATTTAATCATACATAATATTGAGAGGCACAACGTATGTGGAAAGGCGAAATCTGAGGCCAGTAGTTATAATGTATGTATAGTTTTCTGAATAAAATATTCCCTGTTTCAGCCTCGACTGATCCGAGCCAGAGCAAGACGGTTCCACCAGCGCCAGAGACGACACAAGACTCTGATCTATCGGGTAGGTGGGAGAACCCAGCAGGCAGGAAGCTATAAGTCCTTAATTCTTCCTGTATTTAACACGCTGATGTATATACCCGTGGAGATTCTGAGATGAGTCACGCCTATGGTATCGATCGACAATTATGTTATCAATCAGACAATCACAGGATTCCATGAACCGGGTATTTATGCTGAGGTCGCCATCAGACAGCTGGAATACTGCTGAGTGTGGCGTTAAACAACAAACAAAACACTGTGACATAAACCAACGTTATATCTTATGACCCTAATATATACCAAACAACAGTTGTACTGACATTATCAAAGTTCAACAAACATCAACACTCTCCAGTCGTACACAAGATATTGCTACAACTTCTGGTTCTAACAGAAAGTTCTGTATAAACACACCATCCATAATTCCAGAAACCACATGTTGACATTCCCGCCATGTTGTATTGTTGTCAGCCATGATGGAATTGTTTAAACGATGCAGCAATGTCCGAGTCACGTATCACATGATGAAAACATTGTAGATGTGTGACGAAGATGTCTGATGTACACAGTTTACTTTGTGTTGCAGCGACTCCATCACCAGCCACAGACCGCGACCTCTACTCCGCCAGCAGGGACGGTGACCTGGAGAGAGTGAAGCGGATCCTGGCAGCGGGTCACGTGGACATCAACACTAGAGGAGGAGTCGTGGAGCGCGACACCGGTGATGGCGGCAGCAATGATGGGGACACAGAGATGTGGTGGAGTTCCTGGTGGGTAGAGGGGCTGATGTGTCACTGGTGGACAGGCACGGTTGGAACGTCCTTCACTAGGCCTGTGCTGGTGGACACCTGGAGATCGTGAAGCTGATCCTGTCACTGAACGTGGTGGACATCAACGCCAGGAACAACTACGGGTACACAGCGGTCGACTGGGCGAGACGCCGGGACATCAGCGAGTGGTGGATCTCCTGGTGTCACGTGGTGGACACTGAAGTCAGTGTTGGTGTGGACAGAGACGGTGCACATGTCGTTACTGACACTGACGAGGTGTGTGCCGTTCACGTTGTCGTGTGTCACGATTCAGGTGATTTCCTTTTTCTTTTTGAATATAAATAAAACTTGTTGAAAGTATTTTCAGACATTTTGTCATTTGTTGTGTTTGGAACCTCGCGTGATCAGGTAAGAAAATTGTGAAGTGAGTGTAAACATAAACGGTGAGTGATTGTACGTAAACGTCGCTTGTCTTAACATTATTCTGTGTTAATTTTGTTCTGAGAATATCACGAATTGTGAAACAGACAACAACAAACTGTTTGTTTACATGTCGCTGCACTCTGTGACCTCAGACTGACCCAGCTGACATGGCGCCATTTGTACAGTGACAGTGACGTCACACTGCTGGTGACGTCACAGATATACACTGAGGTGCCCGGCCGTCTTCTCAGCCAGATAGGACATAGAGCGGCGCAATGCTGGCATCATGCCATACAACATATTTTTCAAATACATCATGTGGTCGGTATCGTTCAATCAAAGGAAGAATGGACATCTGTAGCTGATTACTGCTGAATTTTAACCCTTTTGATGCCACAGGAAATGAACCCTTTCTGCAGTGACTATACACAAATATACAACACATAACAATCATCACCAAATCATCTCAGCTTTATTAATTTCAATGGATGCCAGGAAGACAAATATTTCCCCCAACTCCAATCTTGATGTAACATTGGGCAAAGACAATTATTGATCCCGGTAAGAATTCGAGGCATCGTAAATCTGTTTTGACTAATGAAATCATTCGCGGCATCGTTTACTGTATGTTGCAAATGTAAATATCGGATAATTACCCGTTGAACTGAACTGAAAAATTGTCTATTAGAGATCACTGGTATGTGGTCTTTTTTTATCAAATCGCCAGTGATTATTCTGAAACCTCGCCTTTAACCTGAAATCGTTTGGACTGTCTTCAGAAGTAAACATAAACGCCGAAGTGAGCTTTCCGTCATGTTTGATAGTGTTTACAGAATCATGTTTCATATATAAGAGAGCTGGTCATGATGACGCCTGTTACGTCACAAATATATATTAAACACTCCAGCTGCAACACAAATCCCTGAATTCCTCATACATTTTTAAATGGATGCAAATGACTGATGGTCTTTGTCACCAGTTCAAATAGTGTTGATGATATTAACCCCTGGATGCCGGATATTAACCCCTGGATGCTGTTCAAAATAATGTTGATGATATTGATGCCGTTCAAATAATGTTGATGATATTAACCCCCAGGATGCCGTTCAAGTGCCGTTCAAGTGTTGATGATATTAACCCCTGGATGCTGTTCAAATAGTGATGATGATATTAACCCCCTGGATGCTGTTCAAATAGTGTTGATAATATTAACCCCCTGACAGTTGAGTTGTGTTTTCTTTGTTCTGACACACAAGCCTGAAAAGTGAACGTTGTCGCTATAAAAGTGCACAGTAATGTAGAATATTTAATTAAATTCCCAATCCGATATATCCGTGAAGATCCATGATAGACCTGATGTAACTGGAATCCTGCTAAACCCAACTCACTCACTCATTCCATAAGCGACCCGTGAAGATCCGGGTTAGAATTGGTCTTTAGTAACCGACGCTTGTCGTAACAGGATCTGGTGGCCAGGCTGGCTGCCTTGGTTGACACATGTCATCGGTTCCCAATTGCGTGGATCTATGCTCATACTGTTGAACACTGGATTGTCTGGTCCAGACTCGAATATTTACAGACCGCCGCCATATAGCAGGAATACTGTTGAAAAACAAACAACCAACAAATCAACCAATCCTATCCGATGAGTGAGTGAGTGAGTTTAGTTTTACACCGCACTCAGCAATATTCAGCAATCCAGTGATCAACATCATGAGCATCGATCTGCGCAATTGGGAACTGATGACATATGTCAACCAAGTCAGCGAGCCTGACCATCCGATCCCGTTAGTCGCCTCTGACGACAAGCATGGGTTACTGGAGGCAAATATTCTAACCCGGATCTTCACGGGTATAATCCTATCCGATTGGATAAATTCAAATATTGACTGTCAATACTAAGCCGGCTTGAAAAGTTGTCCGAAATTTTGTTATGGGTGAAAAAAAACGCACAAAACAGACAAACCCAAAAAGCCCGAAGTAAATGTCTCCAAAGCACATCACAACGATATCTGTTTTCGTCCTCATGGAATGTGTGAGGGAACCAAATAATGTCTGGTTGTATCTGTTGTTCACGATGAACAAGACTATTCCAAAGCAAAGATCCACTTTGTAACTGGATACGTTGTAGTGTCACAAATTACAGGAAATATTAAAATCACACAACATGAGAATTCATGCAACAGCGAAATGGATGGTCCTGCCCCATATCTACATAAGTTCTTAGATTCCCATATTCCGCTGTTCGTGTAGATGTATTCTGAGTAATTTTTCATCATCATTAACAGAGTACAAGTTACATCTTCAAATGTAAAGAAATTCCTGAAAACATGACACCATGGTTTGTTTTATGGAGTATTTACTTTTTTGCGAGTCGGAAAAGACGACATTTGAATGTTCATTGATCAACATATGTACCTCACATAATGCCGTTAATTATATAAAAGGCTTCGTTTTGGCTGCCATTCTTTCCACAGAACATGAAATGAATGAATTGCGATTTAAATAATGCCCTCCCTTATAGATAAACAATTACCAATAGACAGTTTCATTATGTATCTTAATTTAACGTTAATGAAACGAAATGGTTCACAAGACAGGAATACATTTTCAGTTATAGGAGTTTTCTTCATGATGATGTGGTTATTTCTTTTCAAAAGTAATGAAAGATGCCAAAAATAGTTCCTTTTGTGTGGAGTTTTCAGAATAATTATTTAAGGTTTGTGCAAAGAAATATTAAATATTGAATATTGGGCAATATGTACTAAAGCACGTGTTGCAGTTATGCCTACGTGTCATCTAACACTTGTGTAGGGGGCTAGAGATATGGTGTACTGCGCTAAATGTGTCACTTTCGTCTGTAAATATTGTTCAAACAAGCACAAAAAATATGCAAAGGATAAGCAAAACAAAACATATAGCCTATGTCCATCTGTGACATCATATTGAATAAGGCTAAATGTAATAATTTTTCACCTGATGAAGGAGTAAGTCTATACCTTGAAACGTTGTGTTCCCGATAACAAAGACGTTGCAATTCATAAAACTCTCTTCCTTATGTTTAAATGGCTTCTAAATGACATTCAAAGACCTGAAGGCTTAATGTAGATAATGAAAAATACCAGAAAGATACGTTAAAGGTACCTAAACTGTAAGTAGCTATGATAGTGTGACTTTTTAAATCTTATTCAACCGGATTCCATCTCAAACAAATTGCCAATATATGTACAACAATGTTGACATACGACATCTCTATCATTGGCAGTGTTGGGTATTATATAAAATGGCGAGTTCACTGACTTCTCAGGAATTGGCGAGGGGCCTTCCCTTGATTCAGGAATCGTTTGTGAGATAAGTAATGAGAAACACCCTGACTACCTACGTATTGCTATTTGTTTTTGTATTTTAGAGAAGTTAGGAATGTCGATGAATACCGTTGTCGTTGCATCGTTGATTTTGCGTCAGTCACGGCGGACGGAAACATTGACAATTTCGTTTAAATTCACCAAAAGATTGTAATGTCTCTGTTTTTAATTTCCTATCTCTTGCTACAAAATCTATTCTGTGCGTGTACCGAAAATACCGAGACAACGTATGCATTGAATTGACGAATGGATGTCTGACAATTTGAGAAAATGTTACACAGTGTGTAGAATCTGGATTGTTCTGGGTTTACATCTCAAATAAACGCAGTCTTTCGAGTACATAATGTTCGTTTTCACACCAAATATATTTCGTTTGATATCATTTGGACACTTGGTATTGCTGACAAAGACCATTTGTTATTTTATTCTCAAATGTATGAGGAATTCAATGATGCATTTGTCGCATCTGAACGTGAAATATATGTGACGTAATGCAAACGTAATTTTTTCCCAATTAAATAACCGATGTTTGCATTTGGCAACATACAGAAAACAAACCAGTTAATCGCGGTTTCGCTATGTGTCACAAATGGCGATATTTACTATGTATCCAAGTTTGAAAGGTCATTTTCAGTACTTTTGCTTTGCCGAAGATGATAGTGGATGGTATCAACACACAGGAAGGTTCGGTTAAAATAAAAACCAGAAAGACAAATAACATCACACAGATTGGGAAAGTGTTTACTTACATCATTCACTGATGTATACTAGTATATTCAATCCCCAAAACAACGGATCACTGAATATATAGTTCTTTAACAAAAAGTATAAAGTAAACATATACTTTACTAAATGTAGACGAACAATTTATTGCACCCCTGTTTAGAATGAAGAATTGTTCGTCTTTATGTTGTTTGATTAATAAAGTGATGCCCAATGAATCGCCTGGTGCACGTTAGTATAAAACATTATATAATTTTCAGGTTCCATTTTCTATTACGTAATCCATATTACTCTGAAATAAAAAAAATCCTAAAGTCTCATGGGGATCTGTCTGTATGTACGTCAGCTTCGACATTCATTCTTCGTTTCGTTGTTCCTTGTCTAATTCCACACTTGGCACTGGTCTCATGAGGATCTGTCTGCATGTTTGTCAGCTTCGTCATTGATTCTTTGTTTCCTTGTTCCTTGTCTAATGTCACACGTGGCACCGGTCTCATGAGGATCTGTCTGTATGTACGTCAGATTCGGCATTGATTCTTTGTTTCCTCGTTCCTTGTCTAATGTCACACTTGACACCGGTCTCATGAGGATCTGTCTGCATGTACGTCAACTTCGACATTCATTCTTTGTTTCCTCGTTCCTTGTTTAATGTCACACTTGGCACCGGTCTCATGAGGATCTGTCTGTATGTACGTCAACTTCAACATTGATTCTTTGTTTCCTCGTTCCTTGTTTAATGTCACACTTGGCACCGGTCTCATGAGGATCTGTCTGCATGTACGTCAACTTCGACATTCATTCTTTGTTTCCTCGTTCCTTGTTTAATGTCACACCTGGCACCGGTCTCATGAGGATCTGTCTGTATGTACGTCAACTTCAACATTGATTCTTTGTTTCCTCGTTCCTTGTTTAATGTCACACTTGGCACCGGTCTCATGAGGATCTGTCTGCATGTACGTCAACTTCGACATTCATTCTTTGTTTCCTCGTTCCTTGTTTAATGTCACACCTGGCACCGGTCTCATGAGGATCTGTCTGCATGTATGTCAACTTCGACACTGATACTTTGTTCCTTTGTTCCTCGTCTAATGTCACACTTGGCACCGGTCTCATGAGGATCTGTCTGCATGTACGTCAGCTTCGTCATTGATACTTTGTTTCCTTGTTCCTTGTCTAATGTCACACTTGGCACCGGTCTCATGAGGAATTGTCTGCATGTACGTCAACTTCGACATTGATACTTTGTTTCCTTGTTCCTTGTCTAATGTCACACTCAGCAAGATTCCATCTATTTAGGGTTCGCTTGTCACGCTGAAGACCCCGGTTGATTCCCCACTCACTCACTCCATCTATTTGACAACAACCTGTCTCCTATCAGATCTCGATCAGACTGTCCAGTGATTGATGTAATGAGCATTAATCAACACTATCCAATAAGTCACCAAGTCACCAAGTCACCACTCGTTATGCCGCCTCATGGTATAGCCCAGAGGTTAAAGTGTTCACTGGTCACGCTGAGGACCCTGGTTCGATTTCCCACACAGGTACAATGTTCGAAGCCCATTTCTGGTGTTTCTTTCTGTAGTGTGGCTGGATATTGCTAAAAACGGCGTGAACCCGTGCTCTTTGAAATTTCAGAGGATATTGAATTGTGTTGTTTGTTCTTCTGGGATCTGTCAGGTAATAGGGTTATCATCAGTTATTTTCTTTTGTAGAAGAACAAAGTGTCGGCTGAGTGTGAAGAGCTGAAGAAACTGAATGACATGATGGCCGCTAAACATCCGTTCTACAAACCGCCGGCCACACCTGATGGGGAGGCGGTGTGAGAGGTAGGTCCAGGGTTAATTAAGATACGTAGCGTTCACTATGCAGCACCTCCATAGGCCGCAATGGAGGAAATCCTTTGTCGCACTTTAGGACCAGGGTCAATCAGACCCAGCTAAGATACATAGCGTTCACTATGCAGCTCCTCCATAGGCCGCAATGGAGGAAATCCTTTCTCGCACTTTAGGACCAGGGTCAATCAGACCTAGCTTAGATACGTAGCGTTCATTATGCAACAGCTCCATAGGCCACAATGGAGGAAATCCTTTGTCGCACTCTAGGACCAGGGTCAATCAAACCCAGCTAAGATACATAGCGTTCACTATGCAGCTCCTCCATAGGCCGCAATGGAGGAAATCCTTTGTAGCACTCTAGGACCAGGGTCAATCAGACCCAGCTAAGATACGTAGCGTTCATTATGCAACAGCTCCATAGGCCGAAATGGAGGAAATACATTGTCGCACTTTAGGACCAGGGTCAATCAGACCTAGCCAAGATACATAGCGTTCACTATGCAGCTCCTCCATAGGCCACAATGGAGGAAATCCTTTGTCGCACTTTAGGACCAGGGTCAATCAGACCTAGCTGAGATACATAGCGTTCACTATGCAGCTCCTCCATAGGCCGCAATGTAGGAAATCCTTTGTCGCACTTTAGGACCAGGGTCAATCAGACCTAGTTGAGATACATAGCGTTCATTATGCAGTACCTCCATAGGCCGTAATGGAGGAAATCCTTTGTCGCATTTTAGGACCAGGGTCAATCAGACCTAGCTGAGAAACATAGCGTTCACTATGCAACAGCTCCATAGGCCGCAATGGAGGAAATCCTTTCTCGCACTTTAGGACCAGGGTCAATCAGACCTTGCTGAGGTACACAGCGTTCACTATGCAGCTCCTCCATAGGCCACAATGTAGGATATCCTTTCTCGCACTTTAGGACCAGGGTCAATCAGACCTAGCTGAGATACATAGCGTTCACTATGCAGCTCCTCCATAGGCCACAATGGAGGAAATCCTTTGTCGCACCAGGACCGGGGTCAATTTTAAGGTATTTTTTATTATATTTTCATTATGACAAGTTGTAATTGAGGGTTTTGCACTATTCTGAATTATAACTCCAAAACTCTTGAAATTTCTAGATGAAACAAGCCATACAGATTAGTCATAATAGGGCCTTTCCAATGCATTGGATTTATTTTTTTCATGGTTTTATGATGTCAAGTTAATTGAAAATAATGAATAATACTGAAAATGAAGATGTTATTGTTTCTGGAGCAGAAATCCAAAACTGTTTCTAATCCAAGAGGGAAGAGATCAGACTAGTGGTGAAGTGGTGCTTTTTGATGATTTGATGATACAAAACAGCAATAGGTTTTAATTCACTTAACTGTCAAGGGTATCCAGTGGCAATGGAGTGAGTGAGTGAGTGAGTTAACTGTTATGGTGTAACAGTCATATAGTAACTACTTTGGCAATGAGCCAAAGGAGGGGTACGAGACGCGAAACTCATGTTCAAAATAACAACAGTTCGGGAGGACATGTCATCTCCTTATGATGGCTGGAATTTCTAGAAACAACATTGGCAGTTGTTCGAGTTTCCCTCAGATGTGACTGATTGTGTTGCAGCAAGGCCAGACCCCGGGGTCATGTAATGACTTAAGTCTAAAAATTGCTGAAATCTGTCATTTTGATCTTAAGTCCAAAAAATCTTCTTAAATCGGGGATCACGTACATTTTTTAGTCTTAAAAGTTAAGACTGAGATCATTTTTTGTCTTAAATCCCGAGACTGCTACCTACCAGTCTTAAGTCCTTTTTGATGCCGAGTTTTTTTTCAGGCACACATTTTCATAAGGTTTGAAAAGTGAACGTTGTGCGAGATTTGCGCTCGCGTGGTTCTGGATCAGCGTACGGCTATAAAATTACACAGAAATGTAGAATATTGAATTTCCTATCCGTTGGTATAAATATAAGTGTGACTACCTTGGCGGTTTGAGAAAAAGACACAGATTAATGTTGTCCCAAAATTAGGTTATGCTTTAAAAAACAGGAAATTTCTCCGCTTTTGCTCGTGCACCGATAAAAGCACTCTGCTACGATTTTTTTAATTTGGCGTCTTTACGGAAAGAGTGAGCGAAGAAATTACAGCATGATATCTGAACGTCATAAGTATATATGAAATGGGTTTATTTGCTTATGCATAACGTTATACGCTAAACATTAAAAATGACTCGAAATAAATGTCGAAAATGGATTTTCTTTTAATTTCGTATAAACACATCACATTACTGTATTGAATCTATTTTTAATTTGCTGTTTCTTGTAACGATACTATTCCATGTATGTTCTAAAGTATTGAGCCTATGCATGCTACGAATAGACGAATGGGTGTCTGAAAATTTGAGAAAATGCTACTGTACACAGTGTAAAGTCTGAATTTTTCTTTGTTTACATTTCAACAAGTGTCTGTCTTTTCGCACAGCGTTCTTCGTTTTCATGCCCAATATCTTTCGTTTCATATCACCTAGACACTTGATTTTAGGTGACAAAGACCATTTCTTATTTGATACTAAAATGTATGAGGAATTCAGTGATGCATTTGTCGCAGCTGAATATGAAATATACTTGATGTAATAGGCTTCTCAATACCGGCCTTTGCGAAACGTGATTTTGTAAACACTATCCTCTGCAATATGGCCGAAAGCGCACTTAGGCGTTCGTGATAGTGTATTTTCGTAAACATCCCAACCTTTGGGACACTACTGTAAAATTCACCGCGGCAGGGATAAAGGCATCAGTGGACTTGTTTGGAACAGGTGCCTGCTACTAAAGTATTCTCCTCAATTAATTAAGAGTGACCGGACATGATTACATCATTCTAAAATTGCCATGGTAACTGTCTTAGTCTTAGTTTTAGTCAAGATTTTGCTGAGAGGGTTTCATGATCCAGTTTTATCTAAAATCGTAGCTAAGCAACTTTTTTTAGACTAAAGATTTTTTTGTGCTAAGCAAATTTTAGACTTAAGATTTTTTCATGACCCTGGGGAACATCTCCTCACATGCTTCATGTTATGCTTTTTTACGCAACTATTTTTATCTTCTGTCTTTTGCAGGTGTCAAAATTTAAGCAAAATGGATCGACACTTGTAAACAACACAAATTCTGACTGAGGTCATCAAAATACCAAAAATGCTGCTTTATGACTTTTTGATCGAGGGAGCTTGAAACAGAACCTTACCACGATGATGCTGATGTATTTGCATGTTTCTATAGTAAAACAGTGTGCGTGTGTTCAGAATTCATGCTGTGATGGAATAATTGTGATATAGAGAATGTAAATATTCTCAAAATGATAATAAACCTGTTTGCCTTTACATATTGTGTAAATGTTCATGACTTTGTGGACAACAGGAATAAGGCCTGACCTCCCCACGACCAAGTTGTATGCTTCTCTCGAGGGAAATATGGTCTGATAAAAACCTGTCGACGAAGGACAGTAAAACAACTATACGATCACAGTTAGGGAATTAAAACTAGCAAGTAACTTTTAACGTTTAAAAATAAATTGCTTTACTGGATACAAGAAGAGATCCCTTGAATTGCCCACAGATTTCAACTATCTGGGATAGATTTTTATGCTGAACTCCACGAAATGAGTAATTGGAATTGATAGATAAATCTATAAATTAGACAAAAATCCTGAAATACCTGCGAATTCTGATGTCAGAAATACAAAATCTGAAGTAAACCATTAAAATTCCTTCACGTAACACTATCAAGTTACCTGTTCTCCTATAGGAGTAGCTTTACATTGCGCAGACTTAGTAGCCAGTGTGTACAACGAGCAAGGGAACTGCAGGCCAATACTATGAAGTGAAAACAGGCGCTGATCTCATGCACGTGGAATAATCATTCGTAGTATTATACATTTTAGTGTAGATAATAGATTTGAAAATACTATGAATAAGATGTATGAATTGGAAACAGTAACGTCCTGAATGTTTAACTCCAATTCTCAGAGAGAATGCCCAATTGGAAACACGCCAATTGTAAAAAAAATATCGACAGCTTTGGCGACATCAAGCATGAATAAATTCAGACACGTGTTTTGATTGCTGCAAACAAAATAGCTATTTTAAGGAAATTTCTACTAATTGTACCAGTTTACTAGGTAGTAATGGGTGCGTATTTGACGTGGCCGTATGCATATGTCGGGCGTAAATTCTAGTCCGGGCGTAAGTAAAATGTGCGCCCGGACGTAACGTTAACCGGTATGCACATAGTAGACGTAGTTAAAGTTACGCCAGTCGTAGCGCTCTATATTTACGCCACCTACCCAGCAGGCGTAAGCCAGGCGTAGCCTTGTAATGGCGGCACTGGATGCCGAGTTTTTTATCAGGCGCACATTTTCAAAAGTTTTTAAAAGTGAACGTTGTGCGAGAATTGCGCTCGCGTGGTCCTGGATCTGCGTACGGCTATAAAATTACACAGAAATGTAGAATATTTAATTTCATATCCGTTGGTATAAATATAAGTGCGACTACCTCGGCGGTTTGAGAAATAGACACTGCTAAATGTTGTCTAAAATTTTGTTACGCGTTAAGAAACTGTCAATTTCTCCGCTTTTTGTCGTGCACCGATAAAAGCACTCTGCTACGATTTTTTTTAATTTGGCATCTTTACAGAAAGTGTGAGCGAAGAAAATACAGCCTGATATCTGAACGACATAAGTGTATATGAATTGGGTTTATGTGCTAATGCATAACGTTAGACGCTCAACATTAAAAATGACTCGCAATAAGTGTCAAAAATGGATTTTCTTCTATGACGTCAACTGACGACAGAGAGGTCATACACGTATAAAAGATAAGGGGGGCATAACTGAGTTATGCTTAACACTAGGTCAATGTTACTCAGATCACTTGGAGAAAAGTTGTTGTGGATACTTACGCTATATTTTCGTTATGTTGTGTTCACGGTGAACCAACCTATTCCATTACAAAGTTCCCCAATGTGAGCGGATACGTTTTGGTAGTTTCACAATTTATAAGAAAAGATGGCAATGTACTACTTGAGAAAGCAGAATAGCGATTTGGATGGCCCTATCCGATATGTAAGTTAGTTCTTAGATTCCCATATTCTCCTGTTTGTGTAGATGTATATTGACTAATTTTGCATCATTATTAACGGAGTACTAGCCATATCTTCAAATGTACTGAAATTACTGATAATAATACAACATTTTAGTTGACGTCATGGCTTGTTATATGCATTTTGCGACGTCGGAAAAAGACGACATTGGTTTGCTGATTAGTATATATCTTACCTAAATTCCATTAATTGTATGAAAGGTCTCGGCTTCTATGTCTGAATTTAACACTCTTTAGACCAAACATAAAATGAATGATTTTACCAATTAAATAGTGTCCTGAATATATCAACAATTAGACGGTTTGACTGCGTATCTTATTGTGAGCAACACGCGCACCTGTTTGGCATCAATTTAACGTAAATGAAAAATAATATTTCACAACACCCAAATATTTTGCAGTTATGGCTACGTGTGCCAATTTCTTATGTAAATATTATTCAAACAATCAAAAACTTTCAAAGAATAAAAACGCCTACCCTATATCCAGGTATAATATGGTATTGAACAAGGCTAAATGTATATACTGAAAATAGTTTGATGAAAAAATATCTGAACGATACGCAAAGTATACATCATAATACTGAAAGTGTAATCGGAAGGATAGGGCGATTGTGTTTACACTTGTTCAACCGACCTTCACCTCAAAGAAATTGTCTAACATGTACAACAATGTTGACGTATGACATCACTACCACCGACCGATTACTTATAAAATGGCGGCCACGCTGACAAGGGTACACAGGATTTTGCGAGGACCCTTCCCTTGATTCAGGGATCGTTTGTACATAAATATGAGATGTAAGTAATCAGAATGATTCTGACTATATGTGTATTGTTATATGTTTTATCGTTTTCATTGTAAGTAAGAGAAGAAGCCAGAAATGCTGATAAAAACCTTTGTCGTTCTGCGTCAGTCATGGCGTCACGCTGCACGGACACTTCGACAATTTCTTATGAAATATCAAATGATTGCATTGCTTCTTTTTTAATTTCCCATTTCTTGCTACGCTACGATACTCTTTCCATGCATATTCTAAAGCTATTGAGCCATTGCAAGCAATGAATAGACGGCTGCATGTCGGAAAATTTCAGAAAATGCTACGTAGTATAAAATCGGAATTTTTCTTTCTTTACAAGCGCAGCCTTTCGAGCACAGCGTTCGTTTGGACTTTTGACACTCAATATCTTTCGTTTCATTTTATCCAGACAGTTGATATTGGTGACAAAGACCATTAGTAATTTGATTCTAAAATGTATGGGGAATTCAGTGATGCATTTGTCGCAGGTAAATGTGATATACACGTGATGTAATTGGCGTCTCATTACCGTCCTCCGCGAAACTTGATTTTGTAAACACTATCCAATATGACGGAAAGCGCACTTCGGCGTTCGTGTTTACAAGTGTATTTTCAGAATTATCATTAGTGATTTCATGAAAACCTGATATCAGTGATCATTAATATGCTATTTTTGAAATTCAATACATCTGAGTAGTAATTATCCGATTTGAACATTTGAAAACATACACCAAATAACGCTGTGAATCGTGATTTCGTAATGTGTCAAATATGGCGACATTTATGGTGAAGCCCATTTTGAAAGTCCATGTTATTTCTCCATCAGGATCCATCGGTAAAGTTGGGTTTTCTCGGTTTTCTTTGGCTTTCCATGATTACGGCTGCAAAGGGATGTACCGCGAAGTTGTTTCGCGCCTTTTACCGGTGGTTTAAAAACGTTCGAAAATCTAAAAATAGCACACCGCGCCTTGACGTAAATCCGTTAAGCCGGGCGTAGTAACGCCTAGGCTTAACCGACGTTGTGCATGACGTGTAAGAGGAGGGCGCTGCTAAGCCCGACGTAGTGTGTTACGCCTGACGTTAGCTACGCCCAACATGTGCATACGGCCACAGAGTGCCTACCCTCTTCGCACCTGGCTGATGACACCAGTCAGGAATCCCAGATCAAGACAGGAGGAACTTCACACAATGTTTACACCCAGACGTTTGTTTAGCCTGTGTCACCGCGGGGGATGGAAGGAACGTCTGTTGTAAATAACGCACCGTTTCACTGATAGGCTTGTTATATTTGAAATAGCATATGTTATACTTTGGAATTACACTTTGTTATATTTGATCAAATTATGTAGCTTGTGAGTTTCATCCTTTGAACTGATAACATTTACAACTGTCACGGAATATTTTCACGAAATTATTTAAAATCTGTTTGGTGTCAAATTAACGGATGTGTAATGTCGCTATGTGCATATCTTTTGTTCTGCGTCAATAAATATCTGCGTTACGCATTGAAATACATACCCCCATCACGCGACCCAAAAGTATCAAAGTATAATGGTGAAGGCTTGTGGCTCTCTTTCTTAAACACTGAAAACCATAATGTGGAACACATGTATTTCTGTAACACTTCAAAGAATATGCCCATGGAATGTAGCAGAAGGCTGTGCTGGTAGTGAGTCATCATTAGCGAAATTTCCATAGACTTACATGTTAATTAACTGCGTTGCAAATATTAATTTTCATAAATTCGAGGTAGAAGTCATTTTATTTTGACATTTTGCAAACATCTCGGAAATCATCTTAAGCTTCGTGAACATAATATTCTTTCATCTTTCCGTTGATAAGTTATCGAAGATGACACCTGATTATACACCATCAATACAACTTAATTTTAAATTATCCCATTGACAATAGCCATGTTAAACCTGATTGGTATGTCTAAGTATATATGTCTGATGTAAATAGTTGCGGTTTTCGTAGTAATCGTACCAGGAATTGTATGGAAATTATGTGCATGGAAGCGGAAATGATTTCAGCTTGGAGATAAAGTATTGAAAGCAAATTCTACAGAAACTAAACTGATGAAATTATTATTCTTGCATTATTCTTTCACTAATGATGACTCACTTATGGCCATCTACCGTAAATAGATTATGGAAGGGCATATTCTTGTTATTTCTAACACTGGAAACAGACGGAATGTCAATCACTCGGTCAGCCGACATTTCGATCTTAACCACCACACAGCCACTGTGTTTCTACCCTTGTTGTTTTTCAAAGTACATTGCTTCCAACAACAAGTACGGCTGTGTCAGCTACAGTTTCCGCCTCAGATAGGAGTGTGAGAATTACACTTCCGCCGTCGCTCGGTATGCTGACATTTTGTGAGTGTTTCACAGAGTTTGCCTGACACAAATTACAACTGTGTTGCACAAACACCGAGTAAAGTTACCATGCTGCCCTTCACACTGCTGAAAAACACTGAACACTTAAGTGTAATCTGCTTCACATTAGAATTTACGGAATTGACTAAAATATCATGTACATTAAACAGGGAGGGTGGAGTGGGGACATCAAGGAAAGGCATTTTTGAATTCCAGTCACGGTTAATGAATTCAAACCAAACAGGTCATTCCATAAAGAGGAATTATGAGTAGGTATAAGTGCAGATGTTTTTGTTTGTTTATCTATTTTTTTCTTTCAGTGTAATAATGTGAATAATCATGTATGTTTATATGTGAAATTTGAAGTCCCGTAGAATATACTCGCTTACTTACACTGTTCATGTTTATATTTAAAAACAAAATAACAATCTATTCAGTTACAGAATTTGAACCAAGAGGAGCATCTCAGCTGTTAGCACACAGTCAGTGCACAGCTTATTACATTTTCAAATTCAAACTGTAATAATAACTTTAGGAAGTGTTCTGTTTTTATCCTGCAGAGATACGCGGTCTTGATGAACAGGTATCTCAATCAAATCAAACCATATATATTTGATACCTCTGCTATAACAGATGTATTTGGAATTTATCCATACATGATATTGAAAGGCAAAATATGTGGAAAGTGAAAACTGAGGCCAGTAGTAGAAATGCTTATGTGCTGTGTACAGTTTTCTGATCAACATATTCACTGTTTAAGCCTCGACTGACCCGAGCCCGAGCAAGACGGTTTCACCAGTGCCAATGACGACACAAGACTCTGATCTAACGGGTAGGTGGGAGGAAGCTCAGTCCTTAATTCTTCCTGCATTTAACAGACTGATGTTATACCCGTGGAGATTCTGACTTGAGTGATGAGTCTCACCTATGGTATCGGTCGACGTTCATGTTGTCAATCACAGGATTTCAAACTGTAAAATCTAAATTTAGGAAGCGTTACTTTTTTTCCTGCATAGACACGTGGTCTTGATGAAGAGTTATCTCAGTCAAATTAAACCATATTTATTTAATACTGCTTCCATAAGAAATGTATTTAGAATTTAATCATACATAATATTGAAAGGCACAACGTATGTGGAAAGGCGAAAACTGAGGCCAGTAGTTATAATGGATGTATAGTTTTTTGAATAAAATATTCCCTGTTTCAGCCTCGACTGATCCGAGCAAGACGGTTCCACCAGCGCCAGAGACGACACAAGACTCTGATCTATCGGGTAGGTGGGAGAACCCAGCAGGCAGGAAGCTATAAGTCCTTAATTCTTCCTGTATTTAACACGTTGATGTATATACCCGTGGAGATTCTGAGATGAGTCTCGCCAATGGTATCGATCGACAACCATGTTGTCAATCACAGGATTCCATGAACCGGGTATTGCTGAGGTCGCCATCAGACAGCTGGAATACTGCTGAGTGTGGCGTTAAACAGCAACCAAAACACTGTGACATAAACCAACGTTATATCTTATGACCCTAAGAAAAACCAAACAACAGTTGTACTGACATTATCAAAGTTCAACAAATATCAACACTCTCCAGTCGTACACAAAATATTGCTACAACTTCTGGTTCTAACAGAGAGTTATGTATAAACAAACCATCCATACTTCCAGAAACCACATATTGACATTCCCGCCATGTTGTATTGTTGTCAGCCATGATGGAATTGTTTAAATGGTGTAGCAATGTCCGAGTCACGTATCAACATGATGATGTGTGACAAAGATGTCTGATGTACAACAGTTTACTTTGTGTTGCAGCGACTCCATCACCAGCCACAGACCGCGACCTCTACTCCGCCAGCAGGGACGGTGACCTGGAGAGAGTGAAGCGGATCCTGTCAGCGGGTCACGTGGACATCAACACTAGAGGAGGATACAGCATGACACCGGTGATGGTGGCAGCAATGTGGGGACACAGAGACGGGTGGAGTTCCTGGTGTGAAGAGGGCTGATTTGTCACTGGTGGACAGGCGCGGTAACAGCGTCCTTCACTGGGCCTGTCTGGGAGGACACCTGGAGATCGTGAACCTGATCCTGTCCTGGAACGTGGTGGACATCAACGCCAGGAACAACAACGGGTACACAGCGGTCTACTGGGCGAGAGTCGGGGGACGTCAGCGAGTGGTGGATCTCCTGGTGTCACGTGGTGGACACTGAAGTCAGTGTTGGTGTGGACAGACGGTGCACATGTCGTTACTGACACTGACGAGGTGTGTGCCGTTCACGTTGTCGTGTGTCACGATTCAGGTGATTTCCTTTTTCCTTTCTGAATATAAATAAAACTTGTTGAATGTATTTTCAGACATTTTGTCATTTGTTGTGTTTGGAACCTCGCGTGATCAGGTAAGAAAATTGTGAAGTGAGTGTAAACATAAACGGTAAGTAATTGTACGTAAACGTCGTCCGTCTTAACATAATTCTGTGTTAATTTTGTTCTGAGAATATCGCGAATTGTGAAACAGAAAACAACAAACTGTTTGTTTACATGTCTCAGCACTGACGTGACGCCATTGACAGTGACAGTGACGTCACAGATATACACTGAGGTGCCCGGCCGTCTTCTCAGCCAGATGGGACATAGAGCGGCGCAATGCTGGCTTCGTGCCATACAACATATTTGTCAAATACCATCATGTGGTCGGGAAGGAAACGTTTGATCGTTTAACAAAGGAAGAATGGACATTTGTAGCTGATTACTGCTGAAATTTAACCCTTTTACGATTGAACACACAGTATACAAAATCAAACACATAACAATCATCACCCAAATCATCTCAGCTTTATTAATTCAATGGATGCCAGGAAGACAAATATTTCCCCCACTTCTGTTTCTTGATGTAACATTGTTTTTTAGGCAAAGTACAATTGCTGATATGGCCGGTAAGAATTATATACTTCGTAAATCTCGCCATTTTGACTAATGAAATCATTCGCGGCATCGTTTACTGTATGTTGCAAATGTAAATATCGGATAATTACCCGTTGAACTGAACTGAAAAATTGTCTATTAGAGATCACTGGTATGTGGTCTTTTTTAACAAATCGACAATAGTTATTCTGAAACGTCGCCTTTAACCCTGAAATCGTTTGGACTGTCTCAGAAGTAAACATAAACGCCGAAGTGAGCTCTCCGTTATGTTTGATAGTAATTACAGAATCATGTTTCACGTAAGCTGGTCATGAGACGCCTGTTACGTCACAAATATTTAATACCCAGCTGCAACGCACACCTGAATTCCTCATGTATTTAAAATCAAATGCCTGATGGTCTTTGTTCAAATAGTGTTTTTGATATTAACCCCCTGGATGCCATTCAAATAATGTTGATGATATTAACCCCTGGATGCCGTTTAAATAGGGTTGATGATATTAACCCTGGAAGCCGTTCAAATAATGTTGATGATATTAACCCCTGGATGCCGTTTAAAAAATGTTGATGATATTAACCCCTGGATGCCGTTCAAATAATGTTGATGGTATAAGGCCCTGGATGCTGTTCAAATAATGTTGATATTAACCCCTGGATGCCGTTCAGATAGTGTTGATGATATTAACCCCCTGGATGCCGTTCAAACTTTTTTGATGATACTAAACCCATGGATGCCGTTCAAATAATGTGGATGGTATGAACCCCCTGGATGCCGTTCAAATAATGTTGATGATATTAACCCCTGGATGCCGTTCAAATAATGTTGATGGTATTAACCCCCTGGATGCTGTTCAAAATAATGTTGATGCTATTAACCCCCAGGATGCCGTTCAAGTAATGTTGATGATATTAACCCCCAGGATGCCGTTCAAATAATTTTGATGATATTAACCCCTGGATGCCGTTCAAATAATGTTGATATTAACCCCTGGATGCCGTTCAGATAGTGTTGATGATATTAACCCCTGGATGCTGTTCAAATAGTGATGATGATATTAACCCCCTGGATGCTGTTCAAATAGTGTTGATAATATTAACCCCGGACAGTTGAGTTGTGTTTTCTTTGTTCTGACACACAAGCCTGAAAAGTGAACGTTGTCGCTATAAAAGTGCACAGTAATGTAGAATATTTAATTAAATTCCCAATCCGATATATCCGTGAAGATCCGTGATAGACCTGATGTAACTGGAATCCTGCTAAACCCAACGCACTCACTCATTCCATAAGCGACCCGTGAAGATCCGGGTTAGAATTGGTCTTTAGTAACCGACGCTTGTCGTAACGGGATCTGGTGGCCAGGCTGGCTGACTTGGTTGACACATGTCATCGGTTCCCAATTGCGTGGATCTATGCTCATACTGTTGAACACTGGATTGTCTGGTCCAGACTCGAATATTTACAGACCGCCGCCATATAGCAGGAATACTGTTGAAAAACAAACAACCAACAAATCAACCAATCCTATCCGATGAGTGAGTGAGTGAGTTTAGTTTTACACCGCACTCAGCAATATTCAGCAATCCAGTGATCAACATCACGAGCATCGATCTGCGCAATTGGGAACTGATGACATATGTCAACCAAGTCAGCGAGCCTGACCACCCGATCCCGTTAGTCGCCTCTGACGACAAGCATGGGTTACTGAAGGCAAATATTCAAACCCGGATCTTCACGGGTATAATCCTATCCGATTGGATAAATTCAAATATTGACTGTCAATACTAACCTGGCTTGAAAAGTTGTCCGAAATTTTGTTATGGGTGAAAAAACACGCACAAAACAGACAAACCCAAAAAGCCCGAAGTAAATGTCTCCAAAGCACATCACAACGATATCTGTTTTCGTCCTCATGGAATGTGTGAGGGAACCAAATAATGTCTGGTTGTATCTGTTGTTCACGATGAACAAGACTATTCCAAAGCAAAGATCCACTTTGTAACCGGATACGTTGTAGTGTCACAAATTACAGGAAATATTAAAATCACACAACATGAGAATTCATGCAACAGCGAAATGGATGGTCCTGCCCCATATCTACATAAGTTCTTAGATTCCCATATTCCGCTGTTCGTGTAGATGTATTCTGAGTAATTTTTCATCATCATTAACAGAGTACAAGTGACATCTTCAAATGTAAAGAAATTCCTGAAAACATGACACCATGGTTTGTTTTATGGAGTATTTACTTTTTTGCGAGTCGGAAAAGACGACATTTGAATGTTCATTGATCAACATATGTACCTCACATAATTCCGTTAATTATATAAAAGGCTTCGTTTTGGCTGCCATTCTTTCCACAGAACATGAAATGAATGAATTGCGATTTAAATAATGCCCTCCCTTATAGATAAACAATTACCAATAGACAGTTTCATTATGTATCTTAATTTAACGTTAATGAAACGAAATGGTTCACAAGACAGGAATACATTTTCAGTTATAGGAGTTTTCTTCATGATGATGTGGTTATTTCTTTTCAAAAGTAATGAAAGATGCCAAAAATAGTTCCTTTTGTGTGGAGTTTTCAGAATAATTATTTAAGGTTTGTGCAAAGAAATATTAAATATTGAATATTGGGCAATATGTACTAAAGCACGTGTTGCAGTTATGCCTACGTGTCATCTAACACTTGTGTAGGGGGCTAGAGATATGGTGTACTGCGCTAAATGTGTCACTTTCGTCTGTAAATATTGTTCAAACAAGCACAAAAAATATGCAAAGGATAAAAAAACCCAAAACATATAGCCTATGTCCATCTGTGACATCATATTGAATAAGGCTAAATGTAATAATTTTTCACCTGATGAAGGAGTAAGTCTATACCTTGAAACGTTGTGTTCCCGATAACAAAGACGTTGCAATTCATAAAACTCTCTTCCTTATGTTTAAATGGCTTCTAAATGACATTCAAAGACCTGAAGGCTTAATGTAGATAATGAAAAATATCAGAAAGATACGTTAAAGGTACCTAAACTGTAAGTAGCTATGATAGTGTGACTTTTTTAATCTTATTCAACCGAATTCCATCTCAAACAAATTGCCAATATATGTACAACAATGTTGACATACGACATCTCTATCACTGGCAGTGTTGGGTATTTTATAAAATGACGAGTTCACTGACTTCTCAGGATTTGGCGAGGGGCCTTCCCTTGATTCAGGAATCGTTTGTGAGATAAGTAATGAGAAACACCCTGACTACCTACGTATTGCTATTTGTTTTTGTATTTTAGAGAAGTTAGGAATGTCTATGAATACCGTTGTCGTTGCATCGTTGATTTTGCGTCAGCCACGGTGGACGGAAACAATGACAATTTCGTTTAAATTCACCAAAACATTGTAATGTCTCTGTTTTTAATTTACTATTTCCTGCTACAAAATCTATTCTGTGCGTCTACCGAAAATACCGAGACAACGTATGCATTGAATTGACGAATGGATGTCTGACAATTTGAGAAAATGTTACACAGTGTGTAAAATCTGGATTGTTCTGCGTTTACATCTCAAACAAGCGCAGTCTTTCGAGTATATAATGTTCGTTTTCACACCAAATATATTTCGTTTGATATCATTTGGACACTTGGTATTGCTGACAAAGACCATTTGTTATTTTATTCTCAAATGTATGAGGAATTCAATGATGCATTTGTCGCATCTGAACGTGAAATATATGTGACGTAATGCAAACGTAGTTTTTTCCCAATTAAATAACCGATGTTTGCATTTGGCAACATACAGAAAACAACCCAGTTAATCGCGGTTTCGCTATGTGTCACAAATGGCGATATTTACTACGTATCCAAGTTTGAAAAGTCATTTTCAGTACTTTTGCTTTGCCAAAGATGATAGTGGATGGTATCAACACACAGGAAGTTTCGGTTCAAATAAAAACCAGAAAGACAAATAACATGACACAGATTGGCAAAGTGTTTACTTACATCATTCACTGATGTATACTAGTATATTCAATCCCCAAAACAACGGATCACTGAATATATAGTTCTTTAACAAAAAGTATAAAGTAAACATATACTTTACTAAATGTAGACGAACAATTTATTGCACCCCTGTTTAGAATGAAGAATTGTTCGTCTTTATGTTTTTTGATTAATATAGTGATGCCCAATGAATCGCCTGGTGCACGTTAGTATAAAACATTATATAATGTTCAGGTTCCATGTTCTATTACGTAATCCATATTACTCTGAAAGAAAAAATCCTAAAGTCTCATGGGGATCTGTCTGCATGTACGTCAACTTCAACATTGATTCTTTGTTTCCTTGTTCCTTGTCTAATGTCACACTTGGCACCGGTCTCATGAGGATCTGTCTAAATGTACGTCATCTTGGACATTGAGTCTTTGTT